CAGCTTCTGTCGAATCGCGATCTCGATTCCATTCCGATTTATCGTGCAGCCCTAATATATATATGGCGATAATACCGCGCTATTGAGCCACTCCATATTACCGCAAGGGAAATTCCCTCACCGCGACAGCCTTATGCCTAATATAAAATAAATAAACTTGCATAAAGTTTAAATAGGTAACCGATACAAAACTGGAAATAAGTAAACGTATAATATATAACCAAATAAATAAGAAACGTAGAAAGTTTATAAGCAAAACGCATAAGAAAGCTTGGAGGCACGGCATACACCTTGATGTCAAATAAAATAAATAAAGTTTAAATAAAGTAAAAATCAGCAAACACCGTGGAACCAATTAAATAAGAAACAAATGTTTAAAAAAAAAAAACTTCCAAAATCACCTTAGATAAACGGCAAAAGTCAGATATACGGTTATCATGCAAAATGCTATTCTTGAACATTTAGTTCTAAAAGATGCCCACATGCTCCCGATACTGTGTTTCCCATTAATTATCAGCCCACCACAGTCTAATCAGTTTCACCACAAAATATCTTTTACACTTCTCATAATGTCTTTAATACAGTTTGGAAGCATTGCTGTAGCTAATGATCTACATTTTGAGCTAAATCTGAAATCGTGGTATGGCTTACCGCACTTATCAAATCGCTAAAGGCTGCAATTTGAAATTTAGGCCCAATCCCAATTCTATTTTATAACCCCTTCCCCTCCGCCTAATAATTATCGTTCTATATTAATGCGCTGCTTACTGACACACACACGCGCGCACACACACACAGAAGATCGCGCAGATCACACATCCAGGAGAAAAGAAAATGCTGCCCCACGACTTTAATTAATAACAGTTTAAATACTGATTCGCAACATTGTATTTTCCAGCAACGAGAGGATAAAATCGCTGTTTTTGACGTAAACTCACTCTAAAAAGAGAAACGCATAAACACAACTAGCGATTTTTTGCAAACATTTCTTTGAGTAACATGATCGTAAATATGAACTCACGATTGAATGTAAACAAATGATTACTTTTCGTTAAAATCTTTATTAATGCCAAAAATGCTTACATTTATGTCTTTTGGTTCGCTCAGGCAGCCATGTTGCCGCTGAAGCTGGTTTACGCTGAGATAATTCATACCCCTTCGTTTGAAGTGTGGTCCCGAAAAATCTTCGTTTGAAGGGCTGTCTGGCCCTTCCCCTACCCCTCCAACCAAAAGAGAATTGAGACACCCCTACCCCTTCACGTGAACGCGCGAAACGGAGGGGTGGGGAAAGGGGAAGGGGTAGAATTGGGATTGGGCCTTAGTATACAGTCTGTTGTGCTGCGTGTTTCACAATGAAGCGTGGCACTGCGTTCATGTACATTTACCCAGCTCATGATCCAGCGTTCTCAGCATCACGGTTCACAGTAAATGCAGCAAACCATCTCTGCACATGTTGTCAGTTTAACATGCATTTAGACAAGTAATGTGCAGCAGTTACACCATTTGCATAACTTTCAAAATTTTGTGGACATATGATTGCAGCATTTCACTGGATTTGTAATGAGAAACACTCAAACTTAAAGGACTCCCTGCAGTTTTTCACTTACATTTGAAGACAACTGCTGTAATTTTACTATAAAATTAAAGAGTTCCATACAGTCTAGTTGCATTACAATACTAATGTATCCATTTTGCTTTAATCTGTAGGTTTGTACATGACTGCTAAAATACCAGTCCAGTGAATGTATCCAAACGTATCACTAGACACGAGTGCAGCAGGACTCACCCATGAAGCCAGTGGGGTAGGTGACATCAGTGCGGACCTTGCCATCGATCTTGATGAACCTCTGCATGCAGATCTTCTTGACCTCATCTCCGGTCAGAGCGTACTTGAGACGGTTCCTTAGGAAGATGATGAGGGGCAGGCACTCCCTCAGTTTGTGGGGCCCGGTGGAGGGACGAGGAGCCTAAAGAAATCAAACAACAAATCAATTCACTTCCATACAACGTCACGTTAATTAGTTTAGTTGATTGTTTTAAGCATAATTGTTGTTAGCAGAGGTAACTCAGTCAATGCACATGACACTTTGCATTGAACAGGTCAACATGGTTTCTTACAAACCCTTGGCAGGTGTATAAGTGTCCATAATTCTACAGATTTTTCTCAAAAGTGCGGTTCATTTCTTAAACTTTAACGAATACAAAATTACTGAGAGCACCTTTAAGAAAGTAAAGCTTCACTTACAAACACTCCAGTGAGTTTGTCCAGCATCCAGTGTTTAGGAGCTGCGACACGCTTCAGGTGCTTCTTCGGTCCTCGGGCCTGAATAATAGAAAATTCAATTCGATAATAGAAAATCGTTGCGAGCAGCCGAAGCGTGTACAAATGCACTATATAGTGTTCAAAATAGTGTTCTGCAACAAGTACACCATCTCGGACAAGCGAGGCCTTTAGATTCCTTCGTGTTATTTAAATACATGGAACACGAAACGCACTATTTAAACAACGTAAGCTTAATATAATTACCATTTCATATTCATTTAAGTATAAAAACTACAGAACCAGTTCAAAAACTTACATTACACCATCAAAAACCAGCGAGTCCCCTTTACCGCTAAGCATGTTCCGTTAACATTTTAAACATTACAGCTGCGCTTTTCGTCACAATTTGTGTGTTGTTCATCTTTAATGGGGCAAAAGAGCATTATTTGGAACACTAATGGAAGACTTTGCTCTTTAAACCGTTGATGATTGTGGATTATTTTGGGAGGCTATCACGACTGAAATACACTTACCATGTTGGAGTCTGCGGAAAAGGACCAACCACTTCCTGTCAGCGGAAGATAAGCTCAACTACCGGCGCCGACGAGGGACAATCGACGCTACTGCTATCAGCCGTGCGAGCGTCTGCCATCAAGTGGGGAGGTCTGTAATCACACCTCAAAACATCGTTTGAGATCATTTTGTGCTCTTTTACTGGATGTCTTGAGCCTTCTTCGATTTATTTTAATGTATAAGTGTATGTTTCTTCATGTACGGGACCTTTTGGGTCATTCCTGGGGCGAGCATTGTCATATTGCCACATTGCTGTTTAGCCTGTTGAAAAAAAGTTCAGCTTACAATTTTAAAGATATTCAAATCATAGTTTGTATTCTTTTATGACAATGTCACAATTGAGTGAATATCAGGGTGATTTTTACAGGGTGTCTACTACTTAGGTGCTATGCACAAAAAATTGAAATTATTAGGACATTACAGCTGTTTCTTTTGTCCCCTTTCTGTAACCAAAATGCTTCAAATTAAACATGTTTGTCATTATTATTTGCTATTAAATATATTTTATAATTTTTTGGCATGAATGACAGAATTTGCCATGGATTTAATAAATTATATAATGTTTTGTGGTATTAGGGTTGGCTCATTCAGGTTCATTTTCATCAAAACCAAGAACCAACTTTTTTTTTTTTTTTAAGTTGATGTACTTGTTTGCCAAAGGGAAAACAGTGTCTGTAGTTAAGATGAGGGGAAAGTACATTTAAAAACAAATTATCTTTCATCGTTTAAGATAGGAAAAAGTCCTTGGTCATTTCAGGTTGTGAAACAGGGTTGTGTTATTAAGCAGATCTAGGGCCAGTCATCCACTGGTCACCAGACAAACCTGAACTGCCTTATCTATTCTGTAGCATGTTTGAGTCTAATTAAATGCGCATTTATATCTTGAGTAACGCATTCCAAGTATTGGTTTAGTATTAAATTGAAAATGAACTGATCTGAAGAAGATGTTTCCACATTAGCTAGACGGGATGGTGTATTAAATGAAGTTGGGCACTAGATGGCAGTACTAACCAGTTACTCATCTTTCGCTGTCTCACTGGTTACAATTATGATTTAAAAAAATAAAATAAAATAAAATAAACGTTTTTCCGGGTTTAGCTTTGCCAGCAAGAGGTTTATTGTTACCAATTTTAAGTTACATTTTAATAGTAAATAGGCTACTTAGCTTTTATATTGAGATTTTGCATTTGTTTGGTCAGCACTTATTCACCTGAAATCATCAAGGTCTTTGTTTTGTTTTTCATTCAGTTAAAGTGTTTTTATTGGAAAGAAAAAGACAAAGACTTGTGCTTTGTAACTTTATTTTCTCACATTCAGGAAAAAAACTGAAAAGTACACACTTAAATATAATAAGTAATAACTCTCTTATGTAGAAAAATAAATGGATGGAAGAAAAGTGCTAAACGAAAAATCTTTGATTAAGTTTCAGTAAGTCACAAGTTTCAAAAACAGTAAAAAAAAAAAAAAAAAAAAAAAAAAAAAAAAAAAAAAAAAAAAAAAAAAAAAAATTTTAAAAAAAAAAAAAAAAAAAAAAAAAAAAAAAAAAAAAAAAAAAATGACAGACAGAATATCTGACAAAGTCCTCTTTCACTGGACTTTGAAATTGAATGCATTTTAAGCATGTAAAATGTCTAACATATTTCTGGATTTTGGAGAAGACCTGCACAGATCTACATTACAATTAACTTGTTTTATTCTTACAGCCTACAAGACCCAAAAACAAAAAGAGAGAACAGAACTGAATTAGTCAATTTAAATTTAGAGGGGGAAAAAAGACAGTAGGCAATACTCTTATTTTAATTAACATTGACATTTAAGTGCATGAACCAATTATCTCTAGAAAAAAAACAACCTAACATATAAAAATAAGGCTATCAGACCACACAGCCTGAATTGTGGGGTAAACAGACACGTCTCATTAATATATTTAACCACGGAAAACGTTCAGCCAGGTCGAGTTCCTCTGTGACCAGCGAAGCTTGCGATGACTCGGCTTCTCGAGGGAATCTCTTGAATGATGGAGGGGCTCCGCTGAGCGCACCAATTTCAAAACCACCTTCCATTACACACTTGTAATACCATCCGGCCGTTAGTCCAAATAGGGGCTGAAAGTCAGAGCAACCGGCAGCCAGCAGGCAAGGGTAGCCGAAAACCTTTGTTCTCTACTAACCATATTTGCTGTATATCTCTTCTTCCACCAACCTCACGGTGAGGTGACTTTTCAAATCCATTCCACATATCATGATGTGGATTTCATAAGGGTGTGAATGAGATTTGGAAATGTAGACAGCTTTAAGGCAGGGGGAAAGGATGGCCATTTTAGTCTGTGGCTTAGTCCTCTTGACTTCTGAAATTCTTCTGAGAGTCTATAGCTCACATAAGAGCAAACCTACATTAGTCTGCCCTCCAAAACTGTAAATAACAGCTCTTGACAGTTAAATGTTCTCTTCATAGGCATATTTAATTGCCATTATTTGGACACTTTGATTTTGAAGGCCGAGGGAGATTTGGGTATTTTTCAGCAGCCAGCCGGCACATCCGCGATGAAGTCAAACTCGTTCTGACCCAGCCATAGCTCTGGAAGCTCATTGGCACGGTCCAAACCCAGCTCCACCACAAGCGACATCAGAACTTCCTCATCGACCGGATCAGAATCAATGATCCCAGGTGCCTGTGAAGCCCCAGGGGTGCTGATCTGTCCTGGGCCCAGCATGGTGGCTCCGTACCCTCTACCGGGTCCGGTTGTGGCTGCAGAGGACAGATTCTGATAGTGGCTGTTGAGTTTCTGGAGCTGCATGGAGGCTATGAGATGCTGGCCGGACTGCAGGCAGAAAGGCTGGGGTTTTCCCAACACGGGGGAGCTGGGATGGAGGGCAGCGGAAGGGAACGGAGGGCTCGTCTTGCCTGAACCAGAGTAGTGCAGGAGAGAGAGAGAGTCACGATCCTTCATGGTAGCACTAGAACGCAGGAGGCTCATTAGATGGACACACCTGAAGGAAAAGAAGACGATAACATCAAAGTCTCTTCAAAACAACTTTTGTGTTCCACAGCAGAACGTTTGGAATGACGGCTGGAATACACTACATGACTTTTAGAATCGGAACAGATTTTAAAATATTTTGCATCATACATTTCATAAAACGTTTCCAGAGAACAACTAGACATCACACACGACCGAGGCTTTCAAGTCACTGCGAACACAACAAACTCATACAGAAATGTGTGCCTCATTGCAAGGAGTCGGATGACAAATGGAAACAATGAGTTTTAAAATCAGCTCAAATGATAAAACGTGTTTGATATCCTCTGACTCTACGGATTCATAGTCTGAAGCTAAAAAAAAAAAAAAACATCATCCATCATGATGTCCATCATACACTACACAATTTACTTTGAAATCTGTCAACTTGCATTGACTCCTTCAAACTGCAAATCTAAGGCAAAAAATCTGTAGTGTATTCCAGCCTTAAATGATTAAGATGTTTGTGTGAACTATGCCTTTAACTGAGATCACAAGGCAGGAGTTTATCAACGGATCAGAAGGGCAGCAAGTCATATGACGTTCCAAGACTATTTGTAGAGATGAACCATTCATAATCCCTCAGATGTGGGGTTAATTATGGAGTACGTGACAGCGTCCTGTGACTCCATATCCTCCTGCGTCTCACATGCTCGCACACACAGAGGACAAGTAAAGAGGCACTTAATCATATGTGCTGCTCCACTCTCCTCAATCCCCACTTAAAGCCATTCTTTTGGGGAAAGGCATAGGCTAATTGCTGAAAGCTGGCATGCAGCTGCAATGGACCTCCAGCAACGAGCAGCACACAGGCTCATCTCAGACTTTGACAGCTGTAGGGCATTCATCTCGAGATCTTTGTGTTTAGCTCATTGTATTCATTATTCATGGCCTGGAAGCAGTCACATATAACACGATGAGCTCTACAAATTAATTAGACCAAGACAAATGTAAAAAGCGAACTTTGTGGTTATCTTGCAAAGCCCAACTTTAAAATTGGACTCTTCAAAATGTCCTGTGAAAAAGCATAATGTTGATCTAGTTATATTAAATATTATTTTAAAAGTTGCCATTCAAATTGATAACCTTATTTAGTGTCAATGTTGTGTCACAATCTGTGTGGTGCAGAACAGATAACTTCTCATTTCCTACTACCACTAGTCAGGGATAGCCTATGTTGTGGGTTAGTGGTGTCAGGTAAACAGTCAATTATGATACAAACAAGATGAAAACATTAGTTGGTGACACTCAACTAAACAGCTGAATTACAACCACTGACTGGATTAGACCCAAAACAGAGCGATAAACGTGTTGCGTAATAAATATCCTTATTTAGTATTCAAGAGAGGATGTGGAATATGTAGTACATTTTATGAACAAAAATAATAAAAACTGTTTTTATGGACATCTTTCTGTATAATTATTTTCATGCGTCATTTAAACAACAGTAAAAGCGTTTTAATAATATAGTTTAAAAGTTATATAAATGTTGGAATTTACAGAATGGAAGTTTTAAAAAAAACAGTAAATTAACAAATTAAATTGTTTATATGATAACTTACCTTTATAGGAGAAGCGGTCAACTTGGGTTCGTGTTGCGAATCCAGTATGACTAAAGAACACGACTTTTTTTTAATAATTTATAGAAATGACTATATGCGTTGAGAATGTACTGCATGCAAATAAAGCCGTTGAAATAAGGTGCTGCTGTATTTGGAAAAGACAGACACGCAGTCGACTCTGGACGTGAAGTTACATAAATGTTTCCCGTCCTGTTGCAGGAGAGAGAGCACCCTCAATGAACTGTTACTGAATCAAAGGCATTAGCCTAAATACACACACTCGACGCTCTCGAGAGGGAACTGAGGCCGCTCAAAAACATTGCATGGATCATCTGCGAAACTGGACTGTGACAAGTCGACGACTGGTGAAGTATAAGAGGACAATTTAATTACCCTACAGCATATGAAGGATTAGCCTACTTGACTCCGGAATTAATGTTCTGTCATCATTTACTCGCCAAAACCATATTTTTCTTATTTGGGATACTAAAGTTAAAACTGTACTGGCACCATACAACTATAAAAGTAGCCCACATTACTCCTGTGCTATTGTCTTCTGAGGCAATGTGATGTTAAAGCTTTTTCTGAGACGAATATTTAATTTGAATTAACATAATAATATACATTTTGCTTTAAAGTTTTCATGGAAACTGTGAAATGTGTTTTATATGTCGTCAAATTCCTGAGTATCCATACGATATAAATTAATATGGGATCCGTGTGCCGGAGTGGAGTTTAATCCGTGTGTTTTTTTTCACCCTTATAAAGTGCGCGGACAGGGCAGACTTATCACTATTCAGCCACACACACCTCAATCACTGTTGCCATAATTGCTCACTTAATAATTATCTTTCATAGACACACCACAGACAGTAAAAATATCGCTGAGACAATTAGTCCTGGCTGAGTCTGAACACAATATGGTAATCAGACAACAAATGTATATGCAGCAAATTAGGCTACTGCTGCAAGATCTATAATGAACGGACAAAAGGAGAATTTGTCACATTTGTCATTCTTTACTGAATCAGAAATTAAACTGAACCGCATCCATTAAAAAAACTGTTTCGACCGAAACCGGTGCAAGCTACGTCTAACAAAACTTGAGCTGCTCGTCTCAATATTGATTAAAAACGAGATGCAGCCAAACGGCTGCTTTCTTTTCCGTTTTAACGGGTTTAAAGGCCGCATCTGTCGTCATTCATGAAGACACTTCACATGTAGATTAGGAGGGAAGTGACGGGTAAAGGAGCAGGGATTTTGCTCTACTCCTGTGGGAAACGTTATGCAAATGAAGACAAACGGTTTTGACATGCCCTTTGTTTGTCACAACTCAAGAACTCATGTCATAAAGGACACGTTTGTATAGAATAATGGGTCACACTCCTCAAATCCTTCATTTCAGTCCAGTGCTGCTGACAAAAACTCTGCTGTTTTTTAAATTAGTGGTCAAACGATTAATCGCATCCAAAATAAAAGTTTTTGTTTACATTATGTGTGTACTGTGTATATTTATTATGTATATATAAATACACACACGTTATGTTTATACATTTAAAATATGTATATGCAATATCAATTATATTAATATAAATATATACATGGAAATATTCTCAAAATATATACTGTATGTGTGTGTATTTACTATTTATATATACATAATAAATATATACAGTATACACACATATATTATGTAAACAAAAAAACGTTTATTTTGGATTCGATTAATCGCGATTAATAATTTGACAGCACTAGACAGCGGCTTCCTGTTGAGAGTGAAGATCAGTCAGAGTGAAAGGTTGAACACGTCGTCAGGGAAGACAGACGAACACTTTGCATAAAATTCGTTGGGATGTCAAACATAGACTATCACTAGATGAGCAGGTGCCAGTAGAAACTTACACTAGTCCAGGTACGAGATGATCAACAACTTTGCGGTTTATGAGTCATGACAAAGAAGGTGGAAGGGGACAAATAGCCTGCTTGAACACTTTGAGTCTACAGGACTAAATCTTTCTCTTAAACAATTCCTCAGAAAACATTTTTTCAAGGTTATATATAGTTTTTCAGACATTATTTAAAGAAAAAAATGTACATTTACAGGGAATAATATTTACTTTTTCCCCCATTTTTTCAAAATATGTTATGAATTTTACTTTAAAAATTAAAACATCATTGCAGGATAGCTGTATTCCAGTCATTTTGTATATTGCATTTTAATGAATTTGAATAACCTAATCAATCTGGACAGAAAAGTAAATAAATAAAATTGGTATCATGTTATTTTGACTCAAAATACAGAACAAAATACAGCTGCAAGTATTCAATATGCATATTTAGTCTATTAAAGCTTGAAATGAAACAGTATACTAGAGTGTCCCAATTCCTTATTTATTTAGTCTTTCAAAAGCAACCTGCCGCAGAAAGCACAGAGGAAAAATCAAAAGCAGGATCATGAAGTATTGAGCAGACTGTTTGGTTCTACACGCATTAGGGTTTTAATAGGACGAGCCGCTGAAAATCAGTCCCATCTCTGTTTAATTCTGCAAGTTTTACAGCGCTCTTTTGGTAGCATGGATCAGTTTATTGGGCTAAAATGCAATAAGCCTCATCTCTCAAAGCTAATAAAGGACTTAATGAATCACACTTGGTGTGCCATTCAGAGAAACCTCTGCAACCAAAAAATCCATAAAGATCATGCTGAAAAGAACAGGACTTCCACATGTGGCAGCCCCCAGTGAAACACAAGGACAACACTCTCTGGAAGAAAAAGCCACACAGATTTTCTTTTTTGTATTTTAATATATAACAGAAAAGCATTTTTACAAAAAAATTAAAAGTTGACAGACAGCTTGAAAACATTTGCAATTTTTGACTCACTCATCAAGCACAAGAAAATAAACATTGTGGTAAAAAGCCTGCCATAGGCAACATAAAACAGTTCATGAAGCCAACATGACTTGGAATTTGGTCAGTCAGCCCATTAAATTTCACTTATCCAGTCCATAACGGGACAAGATATTGCAGTTAAAAGTTATAAAAGATGGTTTCATTAAGAGGGTGAAGCCAAACCGTAAAGATCTGAGTGACTTACCATGTAAACCATGGTTAGACATATTTCTGGGATGCATCTTTGACAATATCTCATTTTCAAATGATCCCATATAGTTAAAAAAACAAAGAGTGACACAAAAACGTGTTTTTTAACATATTGCATTCACGCTTTACATTTCATCCGAAAATGGCTTTGGATTTCTGTAAAAAAGTACACCCCTTAAATGTTTGCCCCAGATCCAACATTGATTAAAACCGTTCAACCCGGCCCACCTCTGCATTTAAAAAAAATGTTCCCTGGAAACATTCAAGTAATGTTTTCCAAGCTCCCCTCTGGCGATGGCTCCGACATACTGTCTTCATTAGAGGAGCACGGCCTGATTTGGAAACATGAGCTGGGAGCCCACTGCTAAACTACATTCTTCAGATTCCCTGTAAACAAGCAGGGGAGGAGATAGAGAGGGGGTAAAGACAATTCTTAAAAATGGGTCAAAATGAATTACAGAAAACATATTGAGCAATATTAATACAGTGATGGAGACATTTGGTGTAATGAATGTAACTGTGAAAGATTTACAGATGAAATCAGTGCTGACAAACCTGAAGATCTACAAAAACCTGAGGTGTCCACCTGAACAAGAACCTACCACACTTTAATGTCACAATGACAAACTGAAACAAAGTAAAGATGATTCAAACCTGGGGGGGGGGACAGGATTTCCTAGGACATCTCTTATGGAAGCACAAGCAATTCAAATATTTCTAAATCTAAATCAATTTACATGGATTTACAAACCGCAATTTGCATTGGAATTGTGCCTGCCATTCACACTAACACTATACAGTTGAGCTGAAAAAGGACGTCCCCTTTGTTCTCAACCAGCTGGTGTTTTGATAACATTATGGTTGGCTAATGAATTTGAATTTAAGGCACTAAAGGAAATCCTGGTTTAAAAAAAGGAATCGACAGGAAACCATAATATACAAAGCCATCTTTATAATCATTAAAAAAATTCACAGTTTGTCAAGAAATGTAGATGAAGTCATGACTGTGGAGAAAAAGCGTTCCCTCATTTTCAGGGATTTAATCGGAAGCCATACATTTACAGTGACATTTTAACACTATTTTTAAACACAAGTTCCTTTGACTTTGAAGGTTGCGGTTCCGAAGCCCTTGGAACTAATTACCTTCAATTCTCATTTGAAATGAGCAAGCTTTTCCTTTCCTAAAACTCAAGTGGTTTCACATCAAGGAAACCCGTAAATGTTTATGAATCTATTTACATGTAGAATTCAGCAGATGTCTGATGATCTCCCGTCTTCATCTTTCCGGCCTACATATGCATGCTCTTTTCAAATATGGATTGTTTTCAGGGACGGAATCAACAAAAATGTCCAGTTTGTATGTAGTCGGCTACAATATGCACAAACAATACGGTCTCTATTAACACCCACTGTTTAAAATGATATGGCTTTATCGATAAACTGCAGTATTTGCTGATCAGAATCACTGAAAACAACCATGTATGGTGTTTACTCGTTTTTGTCTCTTTTTCTCTCAGCATTTTATAACGCAAGGCTGAGTGTCGTAAATGTTACCCAGATGTGCTTGGAAACTCCAGTAATGTGTAACAACTGCAAGCCTCTCTATTACCTGCATTAATCAATCGCAGTTCTTCACAGAGAAATGGTTGTGCATATGGTCAGAACAGCGAAAGTTTGGGAGGGTCAGGCAAACAGACTTCAGGTAACTCTCATCAAACAGGTTGGCATTCGTCTTACATTTGCTTCCCTCATCTGCACAATTTCCCTTCCCTCATAAACACGGTGCTTATGTGATATACATCCAACCACTGAGCACAACAGAAAAATCCTAATTAAAGAGTTTAATTGATGTGAGCTGTTCAGCTGAGGCACACGGGGCTGTGCGAGCTTTTTGAAAAACTATACAGGAGTCTTTAGAAAACCCTGCACTTCAGTGGTGTAATTTAGTGCCTAATAAAACCTCATCACAAACAATTACTTCCTCCTAATATAAACCCAACGATTTGACGTCTATTGATTACCACAAAATAACTGGCATACAAATAGTGCCAGCTTTGTCCAAACCACTGGCCAGGTATAACACCATATATAATTCACCTGGCACATAGATGTCTCATGAAATTTGTTTAGTAAACTTTATTTTTTTTAATTCATTCATTCATTCATTCATTCATTCCTGTTCAATTTATTTGATTACAATGAGCCAAAGCAACACAATTGCTATACATTTTGTCCTAACTTAATTCCATTGTTCAATCCATTTAAAATATATATTAGAGATGCTCCGAATGTTCGGCAACCGAAATTAATAAGCGAATATGCGAAAAGACCGAATAAATAGTACCGAACAATGATATGACGCGATCAAATAGCAACCAGCGCAAAGTGAGAGGTGCACACTCTTTATAATGCAACAAACATGTATGCAGTGTGCGGAAGCATTTAAAACTGTCCGAGAAAGACGCAAAAATCATTACAAGCACCGACAGCCAGAGACTGTTTAGTACTGCAGCGCATGTCTCCGATGAGAAGAGGAAGGGGTGATTGTTGCGGGTTACTGTATGATGACTGAAATCGTGAAATGGCCTTAAACAATTAGTTATTAAACTGCAGAACGTTTGTTTTCACGCTCGAATTGAATGTATTCGTCTGACAGCGCTGCACAAACTGCTTGTTAACCAGGGTTCAAAGTTCAAAGCGCGAGGAAAATCTGCGCTGAACCAGTGTTACTCGTCAGTTGCTCAGTCACATTTTAATGAATTTTTACAAGGCATGTGACAATGCGATACCTGCGACATATTCGTAATGAGACTCGTTTATAAATCTGCTGAAGCATTGAGGTCTTCCTGCGTGTTTCCACCAAAATAAAAGTTGAGAAAACGCAAGAACTAAATTTATGCAATGGTGAAAAAAATTGGCAAAATACATGGGGGGAAAAAAACTCGAAAAACCGTGTTCGGTATTCCGCCTTCAGCTTTCGGCCCAGTGTTTCATTTTTGTTCGGTTTCGGCCACGAATTTCCATTTCGGTGCATCCCTAATATATATACAAATAGACTGAAAGGTTTATTTAATCCATTTGTGTTAATGAATAATTTCTGATGCATTAACTGAAACTTTGCAGTGTTATTTTTAAAATTAAGATAAAATAAATGCTTTATATTTTAATATATTTTAAATTGTAATTTATTCCTAATTAATTTATTAATTGTAATTTATTTATCATTTATTAATTTATTACAATATTTTAATTGTAATTTGTTTTTATTTTAATGTATTTATTAATCATCCAATTTATTAAATTCTTATTTATTTAGTCATCACAGTGTCACATCATTTATCAGAAACCATTCAAATTTGTTGATTTGGTGCTCAAGAAACATTTTTTCATTATTATCAATGTTGAAAATGGAATGTGCTGCTTAAAATTGTTGTGGAAACCATGATACTAATTGTTTAATGATTCTTTGCTGAATATAAAGTTCAAAATAACAGCATTCATTTAAAATACACTTTTTTGTAACATAAAAGTATGTCAATTTTGATCAATTTAATGCATCCTTACTGAATTAAGCTATTACTTTCTTCAAGGGGAAAAAAAAAATCTTCCTGACTCCAAACTTTTGAACTGTTGTAATTCACAAACTTGTCTTTGTACTTGTTCGATTTCAGGAACCTACTCTGGATGCCTTGCATAAGATGTGCCACGTACAAGTAAAATTACAGACAGATAATTGCTCCATCAAAACACATTTTAAACTAAAACTACCCAAAAACAATTATATCTGAGACATAGTTAAAGGTTTTACATAGCGCATTTAACATACCACACGTAAATCCTGTGTTTCAACATGGCAGAACAGATGCCACTGAAAAGTCATACATGCCTATATAAACACACTGGTTAACCTAAAGAAGCCATACAGAATCTAAGTACAGGAGTTTGTCAGTTCTCATAAAACTAAAGATGTGATGTGTTGCGTGCAGCACAGGACACTTAACGTGGGTCCACAAGCTGACCTCTGTACACTATTTCACTCACTATGACCCTCTGTAAGCAGAAGGTCCTAAAAGCCAAACTGATCTGGAATCTGTGCCCATGTGTGATAGCTTTGCATATATAGCAGGCTTATATAGTAGTCTTAAGAGATGGGTGGAAACCCTAAAATGGAAGTTGAGCAGTCTGCGCCTTAAGCCCTTTTTAATTAGTTCCTAGGTCTGCGGGACAGAGCAAACACGTAGCACATGCTACTCATGCCGCATGGGCACACAAAATAAGCATGTTTGTGCATATTTGTCATGTACTGTTTAAGGAATAGGCAAAACTCTCTCTAGAAGTAAGGGTAATTCTCGTTTATGAATATATCTTCTGAAAAATGTATAAAAAATCTATTATTTTGTAATATGTGACTAAAATGTGTTTTCATACAAAGGCAACCTTTCCCTGCACCATAGCTCTTAAATCTCTTTTAAGCTTAAGGTATAGTCACATTAGCCACATTTCAGTAAAATTTCACAGGAAAAAAGCTCCAGTCTATTGCATATAGTGTAATGATGCATGAAGCATCACTCGAAGCAAAGTCAATTTCAAACTAAGCAGCCTGTTTTTGGGAGCGAATTCATGAGACCCTCTCATACACAAGTGAAATCAACATGGGGAACTTTTTCGCCCTCACAAGAAACTCCTAATCACACAGATTCCCATTTAAATGACTGGGTAGCAACATGCCCAGTCAAAATGCACCCCAAATTTGAGAGCTATAGGGAAGGGGAATATTTTCAGCAGTTAACAAATTCAAATTTGGTCTGTTTATACAGTTGTAGTCCAATTACTATGCATACATGCTGGATAAAGCTGATCCACAATCACATTATCTAGGTCTGTTAAGGTCATTGCACACTTGAGTCCGCTTTTTTCACACGTTAAAAAATACATTGATTTATTGTGTTGGTTACATTTTGTTCCTTTGTGCAGTGGCTCAGGAGATGAGTCTTTGAGTTTGTATAAACATCAACAAGGTGAAAAATAAAACCAAAGTTTTTTTTTTTTAAGGTAATGTAATCTTGTTAAAATGGATTTCATAAAATTGGTATCGAAAAAAGTATCGTTCAGGAACCGGTATGGAAGTCAAGGTATCGATATCGGGAAAAATTTTAACGATACCCAGCCCTAAATACGACCTCATGTTGTGTCAATCACGTTTACACACTGCCTCCGAAACCTCCGAAAATCATAAAAAAAATTCGGATCAGGTTTGATTTTCTGCGTTTTCGCATCCGTAGCAAGCATTTTGATAGGAAAGGATGACGAATATGAAAAAAACGAACAAAAAAAAATTTTGAACTCAATGTGCAAGGACCTTTAGTCTGACATCACAAAAAATGGACTATGTCAGTCAGACGAAAGCCTTTATGTGATATTTTACTGAAAACTGAAAATGAAACTTTTAAAGCGCATGTTAACATACTTAAGACCCAAGTATACTTCATATGTTCCATGTATACATTCATTTTCCACATTTTCCTCAAGCAACTTTCTATTCATCATATAACAGGACATTCTGCTAAGCCTCTTCTGTAGTATTTCACACAAAAAAAAAAAGATAAATGAGTTTGGAATGATATGAGGGTGTCTAAATTTTAAATGTGTAAAGCAACAGATGGCTATAATACACTACACAACTTTTGCCCAGATTTTTGCCTCAATTTACAGTCTGGACATTTTGATACTAGTTGACGAAAGTAGTTTTAAAATCTGTTCAGATTGTAAAAGTCATGTAGTGTATTCCAGCCTTAAGTTGAAGTGAAGGTCAGAAATGAGGCTGTCAGTTGTCAGACTGTACTGACTGTTTCCTTGTACGATGAGGTGGTGACCTCTGAGGGACCTTTAGGTTAGCAGCAAAGATGACTGTTCTCAAGAAGAGTAAGTGGAGAAGACGTTAAGCAGAGCAGGGGCCGGAGCGAGAGATCAATAAGATGTAAATGGGGAGAGAAATGTTTAGTTGTAATTGAAACTCCACTAAGTAGACTGAAGCTAAGATGGAGCAGATGTGACTGTCTGTTTCTTCAGCTTGTTCATGAGTATTTTAACTCATGGGCTGCACAAAAGTCAAGGGTGGTTAAACAGGTCAACTGCATCCCATAAGGAGTGAGGTGATAAAGAACAGGAGACCACAAACCGCCACTCTTGTCTCTCTCATAAACACCAGTGGTTAAGAGGGATGAACACTCATTTCTTAAACTGATAGTTCACACAAAGATGAACATTCCGTCATTATTTATTCATGACTCACAAAAAAAGATTGTATCCGTACTATGGAAGTCCAGTGTTGTTTTGGACCCCTTTGACTGTATGGCCAAAACAGTTAACAAAATATCATAACAAATTGGGTGAACTACTCATTTAATTTGCATTATTTGAAATAAAGCTGATATAAAATAACATTATATAAAAACTTAAATTAGAAATGTTGCCTTGGCAACTATTTAAAATAAAATAAGTTATTTTATAAGTCCTATAAATAAGTACTAAATCAAGTACTGAAATGACAAATTAAATGAAATTTAAATAGAAAAAAAAGAAAAATGACAAAAGCACAACATTACTTAAATCCAAATTATGAATCTGAATCTGAATCTAAATCTCGAGAAGCACAGCATTTTTATGTTAAAGAATGTAATAGTAATGGTAATATATGTGACCCTGGACCACAAACCAATCATAAGCAGAGATTCCAGATTTTCAAATAGTTGTATCTCGGCCAAATATTGTCCTATCCCAACAAACCATACATCAGTGGAAAGCTTATTTATTCGGCTTTCAGTTGATGTATAAATCTCAATTTTAAAAAATTTACCCTCATGACTGGTTTTGTGGTGTAGGACAAACATGATCTAACAACGATCTACAAACCTGTAATGACATGAAGATTTTTCATTTTTAGGTGAGCAATCTCCCTAACGTTTGTTAATGTAATATCAGTTACTTTTATGGAAGTATTTTTCTAATGAGATACTATGGAAGTCAATGGGGACCAGCAACTGAAGGTGAACTATCCCTTTAACTTTACTTGAGTCAATAAATATCCACAAATGTATCGTTACTTTTACTTACAGTAAATATGACAATATGGTATTTTAAACAACAACACGAAAATAACACTGCACCACACTATAAGTAAAGTGAAGGACTTTGTGAGACTTAGGTTGGCTTCTCTAAATCACATTTGTTCTTACACACAAACAATGCCCATGTGTTAATATTCGGAACACTGCTTTTCCTTTTTCGCGGCCAGGTTTTGCCCATTCACACAGATGTTAGAATAAGCTCAAAAAGAAAAATCTTGATTTTATTACATCCAAGGGGCATCTGAAATGTTCTCAGCATAGCTTTGAAACATGTTTTGAGAAAGAGGACGATATCTGCTTCGTCATGCCTGGAGCTGATCCGTGCTGGTTGCTGAAGAAATACTACAACTTTGCGCTGTGGATCGCCGGACCGGCTTTCACCGTGGACGAAGCGGAGTCCAGCCCGGGGTCGTCACATGTGGTTGCCGCAAGCCCTCCGGACGCTCCTTCGTGGAATCCGCCGCCTCTGCTCACTCAGCCCGTCATAATGTTCTTTTTAGCAGCATCATATGACCCCTTTAAGACTATTGTCCATGGAGAAGGTGAAAAGGCAAGCATTTGCTGAAACCTCAAATAAACACACACACAGTGAGTTCATGCACAATTGCAGCCATACAAATACACAAAAGTTCTGACATATAAGAAGAACATAAAAACAAAACCTTGTGTCAAAGGAACAAACCAGACACTTTGTCAAGAAACATCTCATAAATGTGTGGATAAGTGCGTGTCTGGGGCCCTGCACGTACATGTGTGCAAATGTTCCTAGTTTAGCCTGTTCTCATTCCAGTCGCTCTCTTGAGACTTCAGCTTCAAGTTTCTAAGAATGCTTTGCTTATTTGTTTACTGATGACCGGGAACATCAAACAGACATGTTTCTCTTTTCTACAGCTGAGGAGAGCCTGTCACAGGGGACAACTGTGGTTGGTTTAAAGGTCTCCCTGGTCACTGGAGGGGGGTGGGACACAAAGTTCTTGAGGAGGCTGGAGGGACAGCTGGATGAACGAATGACTGACACGCCATCCTACCCATCATCAACGGTTTTCCAAATAAACAGACCATTACTTTAAATATTTTAACCAGCTTTGAAATGGACAAAAGTATTTCCATCTGTTGAATGCTATTGGATTAAGTGTGGAGAAAGGGTGATATTCAGGGTTGGTGTTTGTGTTTGGTGAGTTTCTGGCTGTTGTCATGGTGATTACCTTTGATGGTGCTGATGACCCGCTCCAGATGCTGGCTCTCGTTGCGGTCGGGTCGGCAGCTCGGGCTGATCTCCAGGGAATAATCCGGGCCGTATTCGGTGAAGTACTGGATTAGAGATAAGCAAAACATACTTAAAGTCACCATCACTTAAAATGACAATTCTTTACTGAAGCGTTTATTATAAATTATTTATTTGTGCACTTATTTTTGTCCAAATCCATGAAACACAAATGAAGATATTTTGAAAAATGTTTTTATGTTTTTTTTTGTCCACACAATAAAATCATAGGGGTTATTTTTCACCACACTGTCACAGTTGAAATGTTCTTCAAAAATCTTCTTTTACTACATGTTTGGATTATGGGTTTGAGATAACATGAGGGCAAGTGTATGATGACAGAGTGTTTATTTTTGGGCAAACTATCCATTTAATTAAACATTATGTGTATGTTACTCACACATCTTAAGGAAGTGCAAATGACCAGCATGGCGGCAAACCATCATTTCTCCAGCTAGAACAGATATCTGCTAAAAACTGTTTCACTAATGACCTTTTAATGTGATCTAGGTTTCCTTCAATAAAATAAGTCCTGTTTTTGCAAGTTTTTCTCATCTAGGAAGCAGCATTTACTTAAGTAAATCTGGGAAGGTTTAGTCATACTTCCACTTTCTTCCAAACACACACACACATATACATCAGCTTGCTGGATAGCTGTGCTCAGTCTATCACAGTGTTCTGACCCTTGGATTGAGAAGGCAAGCCAAAAAAACAGTTAAAGTTTCCCCTATCATGAACTGCATCTGAAATACAATTAGCGATGCATTAAGATTTTGAAATGGAAACTATATGGACTGGCCAAAAAGACAGCCAGGCATTCAAAAATTGGATAGAGATCAGATTTGGTTGTATGTTTGTTACATGCATTAGCTCAACTCTGCTTTCAATTACTTGTCTTTTGTTTATCCGGCTTACCTCCAGTCCCAGTGTGCTCCAACATGTTAGGGATTATACAACCTATGAATCTGTGAATGTGTGCAGTCTCACATGTTTTTATGCACACACCTAAGTAATGTGGAAACAGGATGCACTTGGACAATGATTTTTGCACACGATTAGTTTGATTATGCTGTTAGTAAGCATTCACACACACGGGACACCACAGCATGCCACTTGTTTTCCCATGAACTCAACTTTTCCCAAGCAGGCTAATCTGAAACAGCACTGTCCACAGCTCTGTTGATTGTTTGGCTTGGACCACACTAAGATCAGGTTGAAACTCTCTTTATTTAAAGGGTTACTTCACCCAAAAATAAAAATTCTGTCATCAATTACTCATGTTGTTCCAAACCCAAAGAACTTGTTTATCTTCAAAACACAAATAAAGATATTTTAAATGAAGCCTGAGAGATTTCTGTCACTCCATTAAAAGTCCATTCCACCATATCTCTGAAGTGCATAAAAATATAGAGAACATAATCCATTTGAACTGATGCCATAACGTTTTATTTTGGGTGAACTATCCCTTTAATTTTTGCCATGATAGAGAAAAATTAACTTGTTTCAAAAACAGATGACAAACAAAGCTAAGTCAGATAAAATTAGACAATACAGAATAAGGTCAGTAACTCTCTCCTCAACAGGGCAGACTCAGAAAAAAAAACAATCATGATCCACTCTCAGAGTCAAAATATGACCCAACACTTCATTGTCTCTTAGTGTCCCATCATAAAGGTGAGTTTAGGTTTCATCTCCTGACCTTTTGAACTTTGACCCTTAACTATCAACACCACCCAGCATCCATTATGGACTTCCCCCAAAGCTCATTTCCAGCATTTATTCCACTCCGGAATTCTGGGAGCCAGCTACTTCCCAGACGCAACGACACAAAAAGTCCCACCCACAGAAGAAGATACAGAGGCCACACTAATTAACACTGTTGTGGCGGCACACGTTTTCTTCCAGATGAATGAGATTGGAGGGGTTAAGGAACACCTGAAGACCTGTTGTCTCCTCTGCTCAAAATTCATAGTTGACAAAAGCTTTATGAAATCATAAGCTCTCAAAACATTCCCTAAATCACTGAACAGTGTTTTTATTATCATCTTAAGTCAATAACATGGGCGGACAAACAGTATCTACTGTCTAAAACGCTTCCCTTCTAGATTGATCAGTATGTGCAGGCAGTAATGAGCCAAACCCGTGCTGACAGTCTGTCTGTCTCGCACTTTACAGTGAAGTACCAGACCTGGTTCAAAGGGCAAAACTACAGACAATGCAAACATAACACTCCTGGCACTCACAACATCCTGTTGAACTTGCTGTGAAAAAGCTGGCAGCCAATGAGAACTTGTGTACGTGCATCAAAAAAAAGATTTCAAATGTTGTAACATTGAGACAAGAAACTATACCAGTTGAACTGTGACGGTGGACTACCCTGCTGTGCATTATGGGTCAATACAAATCAATTTGCAAGGCAACTTGCCCATCTAAAATGTCTCCACATTCACACATCTTAACTATCCTCAATCCATACTCAGGTTCTCTAAAAGGTCTGTGCTGTCTGTTCCTGTTATGCCTGGTGGGGTCTTCACCCCCTCCTCAAGTTATTCAGACCTTACAATCCCTTTAGCACTGTTTGACTAGCGTAACCACAGCTGTCATCTTGAGATTGTATTCATGTTAGCTGTCTGAGCTCATTAATGAACGAAACACCTGTAAACTCTAAGTGGCTAAGTGTTTGAGATCATGGATGGAGTACTTCAGTTGCTCAATGGTATGTTGAAGTTTGTCTGTAAGAGACACTGTTTGTACAATTGGGGGAAGTGATGCAGATTGTCCATTCCTTGTAACCCCCCTCTGAATTCTCACGTGCAATGGAGTACAACAAAAGAAGAACCAGAGAGAGAGAGGATCAGACGTCTATCGGGCTGACTGACTGCAGGGGGGAAACAGAGCTCTGGGTGTTTGTTGTTTCATTGGGCTGTGCTGAAAATAACTTGGCAGAAACAAGTGAAAATAAGTTTTGTTTTTTTTGTTTTTAAAAAGGAGAGGATGTACAGATGTTGACTGGCCACAGAGCAGTGAGGGCCGTTTCCACCCGCGGGCTGAGCGGAGTCCCTGACAGCACTCAAACAAATACACAGCAAATTTCCTACCACTCGCTGATAAGATTTGACCAGAACAAAGCCACACGTTCCCAGTCTAGCCAAACTGGCCATCAACAGGAACTTTTTGTAGATTTAACCCTTTCCTGTCCTCTTAACCAATACAGATAATGTTAAATGTACAGTATAGCTCACCCAAAACTGCAACTGTTATCATTTACTCAACCTCTTGACATTGCAAATTTGTATTAAAAGATATTTTGAAGAATGTTTGTAACTAAGTTGTTTTGGTGACCATTTACTTAAAAAAAATATTACTATATTACCACTTTAGTATAGGGACCAATTCTCACTATTAACTAATTCCTTATTAGCATGCCTATATTGGCTGTTTATTACTACTTATAAAGCACATATTCTGCATGACCATATTCTATATCCCTAATCCTACCCAAATACCTAAACTTAACAACTACCTTACTATTAATAAGCAGCAAATTAGGAGTTTATTGAGGCAAATGTCATAGTTAATGGTTTGTTAATAGCAAGAATTGGACCTTAAAATAAAGTGTGACCAAGAAGACATTTCAAAAAATGTTTTTTTTTTAATGTTCCACTGAAGAAAGAAAGACATACAGTTTTGGAACAACGTGAATTTTGTTATTGCATAACGCCGCCCAAATGTTCACGCAAAGAAAGGCGGCGTAACTTTTATTCTCGCTGTAGTATTGTTGTTGCCGCCGCCATGTCGTGAAGGCGCTGGTAAAAAGACAGTATAAGTCATTATAATCCATAATTATGTCCCCACTGGATGCAACGAATGCCTCGTTTATAATGGGTTTTCATGTTTTTGAATCATCGCTCCGGCCTGACAGGGCATCATCACAATATGGTAAGGGGCATAACATTTCCGTCACACGCTTGAGGTATTCGGCCAATCATAACGCACTAGACAAGAAAAAAAAAGCTTTAGTCACACTGAGAAAGTCTGCAACACTGGTTAATCGATTAAGGTAAAATTCACTCTCTTACAGTAGGTGTCGCTTATAGAAAAGCAGAAATGTCAAAGAAACCCTGTGAACAAAAAGTTTATTAAACAACAGTACTCAAAGACTATATATTTTCAAATGTTTTTACACCAATACATGTTTACATTTTCATCTGGAACAAAAGATACTGGTTGAAAGGGTTCAGATTCTTCATCGTTGTTCTTTATAGTAGTGCTTTTTTGCACTTTAATCTGTTTAAAACAGTTTACTTTAAGCATTTTTATTGTGCCGTTTTATTGTATTTAAATGTTCAAGGTTCTTTTTGTTTCTTGAAAAAAAAGTGCTTAAACTTGTAATAATGAGCACAACACTGATGTCTGCTTACCTTCTCAAACTGTATTTGTAATGTAATTCAGTACCGTAATAATAAACTGTGATAGCTTTATAGCAGTGGTTGTGATATGAAAACTTTCATACCGTCGTATACATAATTCTAGCTAAATCAGTACTGTGAGTTTAGGGCAGGGGTGATTTATTGAATAATTACAGTCGTGCACAACAGAAGACGTGTCTGGGAAACCTCTCTGGAATTCCATTTGGTGTTATTAGTGGCACAAAAATTACACACTTCACCTTTACACAACAACTTTAATTACATACTCCCCCAGTGACAAAACAACTTTAATGCCACAGCATCTCAGAGTCTTGCACGTCTCATGATGTTAGTCACCCTAAAAGGTAAACAATTCACTGCTTCTGTTGCTAAATGTGTGTCCAGTGATGCTGACTATCACAACATCTCAATCAGCTAAATCTTGCCTAGGTTTGTGCAACGATTTAATCAAAATCTGCTGAGAGATCGAAGAGAGATGCATTGTTGGTGCAAAAGTGTCGTCAAAAAGTATCTAGATTGACATACCGTTGTCTTGCATTAACAGGAGACAATGGTGCTTATAATGCCAACAATGGCGTTTATCTAGACCAATATCAGGGCTGTCTCGGCCCAAGCACAGCACAAGCTTTTCCAATTCATCAGCTTCTTAAAGAGAAACAATTCAAGTCTAAATAAAAGGCTCTGCATTTTTTCTGGGACTCTCCCTTGTGAGAGGACTGTCTATATTAGCCTCACTTTTTCATCTCTCTGTGTCAGGCCCTGAATGAGCTCGTTGTATGCCTCCACTCCAGTCTGTCTTCATTGTTTGCAGTCCTGGCAGGGCAGAACCCAGACTGAGCCGCCACAGAGTCTCAGCAGCTGGAGTCTCAGCAGCTGGACCGGCTCGAGGGGAGAGAGAGAGAGAGAGAGAGAGAGAGCGAGCGAGGTTGCACAGGTACAAAGTGCTTCTTGTTCCACCTCTCTTTTCCCAGCTTCTTCTATGCTGCAATACTCTTCTATCTTTTTTATACCCCCTTTGGTGAATGCCTCTCTGTCTTTTAACAGCCTTATCGCTCTCTATATGCCTCTCTCTCTCCCATCTTTGTCTTTATGGACTCACACTACAGTTAAATAGTGTTTTGTTTGGCTGGGATGGATACGCAATAACAGTGCTGGTAAGGAGATGGGGGTTCCACTCTCTAAGAGGGGAGGAGAGAATGTTTCATGCTTTGAAAAGCCGATGGAGGGAACAATAAAGGAAAAGTGGTGGTGGTAAAACCTAAAATATGCTGTGGACCGGCAGACTTCAGCAGAGTTCTTAGGAAGGGCTGGTTCATAATGAGAACATAATGTTTGGAACCAAATAAATGCTTTCACCATTATATAGAAGAGAGTAGAATAGAATAGAATAGTTATCAGGGCAAAGACCATAAGCACACCACACCATGTACACTGACTGCATTGTAATGAAATATGAATACCAAAAGTTATAAGGTTTAAATTAATAAGTTTTAAACTACAAAATGTTTTACAAAAGAATTAAAAATGTTGCCAAAAAAGGTGCTGAAAGAGTGAAAGCATTGTCAAGATACAGAATTACTGGCCATTTGTCAATGATTTTGAGGTACTTTTTGTAGGGTACTGACTTAAGATTATCTGACCTGAACTGGGTGAAGTCTGGACAAACACTCATGGAAGGAATAGTGAACAGTTTTCAATAAGAGTCACAATGGACAATAAGCAGTTTGCCCAACACTGACAAACAGACCTGAATGAACTCTGCATCATCCAAAGAATATGAAGAGAGCAGAACCAGTAATTTATAACAAGGATTCTCAAAGTTACAAAGCACATAATAAAAAAAATTATTAACTACTACTAGGTAATTGCTGTATATTTTCCTACTTATTTCACAACAATCAATGAATCGATAAGGTAAACAGAGAAAAATATACACTGTTTAAAAGTTTGGGGTCAGTGAGATTTTCTTTTAAAGAAACTGATCTGATCCTTTTATTCAGCTAAAATTAAGTTGAACAAAAGTGAGAGTAAAGACTTTCATAATCTTACAAAAGATCTTATTTTAAATAAATGCTGTTCTTTTGAACATTCTATTACAGTTTCCAAGTAACATTAAGCAGCACAACCGTTTTCAACTGTGATAACAATAAGAAATATTTCATAAGCACCAAATTAGCATATTAGAATGATTTTTGAAGGATCATGTGACACTGAAGACTGGAATAATTACATAATATAATTAAATGATACAACTGAAAACAGTTATTTTAAATTGTAATAATATTTCACAATATTGCTGATTTACTGTATTTTTAAGATTAAATAAATGCAGCCTTGGTGAACATATGTGACTTCTTTCAAAAACATTTTGAATGGAAGTGTATAAGCTAAGTCAATTTCACACATTTAAGAGCCCTCGAAAAAAACTGGCCCTAGTAAAACATCCAATATAACGAACTGTAAAATGTACCAAATATATGTAGCAAAAATTTTAAAATACATATGCAATTTTGAATTGCTCTCAATGGAGAAGGATGCTTTATATAACTAGATGGTGAAGTTACTCTCAGCAGAGGTTATTGATGTCTAGAGCCAATTTCAGTTTGACATCAATACATAATAATATTGTAACTTATAGTGCCATGTTTCCCATCAGAAAAAGAAAATCCCTGATTAACATGTCTTGACGTATTCCAGAAAGCTCAATTGTATTAATCATCATCACAACCATCACTGTCATTAACGAACACCCTGGCAGTTATCTACACTGCTTTATTTTGGTTGCTTGCCTTGTGGAGAGGTCAAAGGTCAACATGACGCAGAAGGTCATGGCAGCTGAAACAATGGCATCTTTTATTGCGGTGACCATGAAAGCGCTCTCTATAAACATTAAAAGACCTTCTTTGTGAGTTGGAAGAAAAGAGCGATATCAAACTCTCCCAGACCAACCAGAAGGCCTTTCCAGCCCTTCATCTCTCCTCAGAAGCTTCTCAAAAAAGCATGAAAAAGCTCTTAAAAGGGCTCACTCAGAATTGGGTACACACTTTATCTTTCTCTAAGGAAAGAGAAAGAGGAGAGAGGGGGCATAAACAGTTGAGGAAAGAAAAGCACAAGTCCCTCTCAGTCAACCCGGTAGGGACAGAGTAGTATTGTTAAGACCCCTTCACTGGTGCACACACGCACGCCCCCTCCCTGCTCCTGAACCACATGAAAACAAACCCGGTTATTGAGAGGTGCTTGGACATCTTTGATTAGACCGGGTGACTCAGCAGGAATGGAAGAGGAAGAGGAGGAGAGAGTGGAGTTTTATACAGCTGCTGAAAGAAGAGAGAGCGGGGTCTCACCTCGTGGTCCGGGATCTCAGAAGACAGAGTCTGTCCTAGGACGGTCCCCGTCAGATAGGTCCAGCAGCGGGCAGTATTGGCAAGGTTATAGCCGCCTGAGAAGGACAGAGAGAGGCAGATTTGTATACGTAGAGAGCGAAAGAGAGAGAGAAGGGGGATTGAAGTCAGCAAAAGGGCTTCATTGTACTAGTGTAATTACTACCTTTCATCTAGAGCTTGGCTAGGCAGGTCTGCAGCTTAGAGCTCATTTCAAAATGGGCTAAAATCACAAAAGTTCACTTTCTTCTCTCAGCCCAACCCCCCCTGGCCGTAACAACACACTAATAAACTTTTTGGCCGAGTCAGAGAGCTGGCAACAAGGACAGAAGATGTAGTTGTCAGTGTTAAGGCATGGAGGGAGAACAAACTTAGGCAACACTGCTGAATACGTCTGTCGACATATGTTTTTTAAATGTTAGTTGACCCAAAATGAAAATTCAGTCATCATTTACTCACACTCACGTCGTTCAAAATGCAAATGGAGATACATTTAATAATCTCACATAATTTTTGCCTATCCAGTGAAAGTCCATGCAACCAAAACTTGCATGAATAAGTACAAAAGGACAATGCATCCATATGAATCAAGCGGTTAAACAGAACGAACAGATTTTATTTCAGCTTTTATTAACATTTAACATTGAGCAATGCATGAATAAAAGCAGAAATTAAATCTGTTCATCATAAAACCAAACATGTCTCTTCAGATGGCATGGATTAAACAGCTAAACTACTTTTACGTTCTCTTTATTAACTGTGAAACTTAAAAATTAATTTGCGTGGACTTTGAATGGATGGATAGAAATGATAAGAGTATTATTAAAAGCAAAAAAAAATTCTTCATTTGTGTCCAGAAGATGAACAAATGTCTTTGGAATGACATGTGGGTGAGTAAATGATGACAGAATTTTCTTTTTTGGGAGTGTAATACAATTCAACGAAAACAATGACACAAACCTCCTCCTAGAAGCAGAGTGGGTAACTCCCAGTCCTGTATATAGTTCAGACATTTTCCAACTCCAATGGGAGTCATATTGAAGGAGCACATGGGGTCACCCGCCATGGTGTCCGCTCCAAGTTGCATCACAACTGCTTCAGGGTTAAACAGAGCTTTGACTTCCTGCATCACACTGAGAGAAAACCCCAAAAAAGAAATAATGTCTATGTTTAAATGACACTGAACCACGGGGACAAACAAAACATTGCAAAGAACTTGCTTAGATGGCTGGTTACTGGATCTTTACAGACCTATTGAAGGTCTGGCAGTACCGATCATCACGGATGCCATCCTCGAGGGGGACGTTAACAGCGTACCAGCGTCCTTTACCCAGCCCAGTGTCAGTTACATCACCTGTGCCTGTCAAAGAAATTAAAATGACAACCTAAAGTTGGTCTCTTTGAAGGTCATTCATATGACTGATAGAACTGATGGGCCAGCATGAATTATCTACATGAAGTTATATTGAGCATTGATGTTGTCATTTTCAGTATTGTTCAAAAGTTTGGGGTCAGTAAGATCTTTTTTGAAAGAATTATTCATTTTATTAAGCATGAATGCATTAATTTGATCAAAAGTGACATGAAAGACATTATAGCATAATAACTTTTCTTTAGAACTTTCTATTCATCAAAAAAAAAAACTGTATGACTGTTTCCACAAAAACAATGAGCAGTTTTCAACTGTTTTCAACACTGATAATAAGAAATAAGACAATAAATCAGCATATTAGAATGATTTCTGAAGGATCATGTGACACTTAAGAGTAATGGCTACTGAAAATTCAGGAATAAATTACATTTTTAAATATATTCAAATAGAAACCAGTTATTTTAAATTGTACTAATATTTTGCAATTACAATATTACTTAATAAATGCAGCTTTGGGTAATATAAGAGACTTCTTTCAAAAACATAAAAAATAGCTTACTGACCCCTAACTTTTGAATGGTAGTGTACTTTTCATATGAAGCTGTTGCAGTGGGTTTTTGTTAAATGTGAGCCAAAATCATCACAATTAAAAGAACCAAAGACTTAAACTACTTCAGTCTGTGTGCATTGAATTTATTTAATACACGAGTTTCACAATTTGAGTTGAATTACTGAAATAAATGAACTTTTCCACGACATTCTAATTTATTGAGATACACCTGTACATACTCAAAAAATATATTCTTGCCTAAATATAATTATTGAACATTTTTAAACCTAATTTCGTGATGTGCAGTCTGTTAAATTTAAACATGTTTACTTAAACCAATTGTACTACATGAACAAATTGTAATTGGCGTTACCGCACCACTGCTGAAACCCCTGTGCAGGGGATTTCCAGTTCCCAGCATGCTATACATGGAAATGGACAGGGAAAGAAATGTTGAAATGAAGTGTTATTTCACATGTTTTTGAAGATGAAAAATTGGGGGAACTTGCTAGTGTTTAATGATCTATGTTATATTTGGATTTAGAAGAGTTTCTGTTATGTTGGACTTTTGGGTATTACCACTGCGGTGAAGAGCAAAGCATGCGCTCAGCAAGCGGACAGGCTAAAATAAAGACTATGCTTTACTCAAAGGGCAATTACTGTGCAGTTTCTTCTGCTTCTGGCCAAAACCATACGGTCTATTTTTTTTTGCATTGTACTTAATTCAGTCAGGTTTCTGCTACAAGCATCCGAATAGAATGGAGTTTGCAATTTTATTTTAATGTTGAGAAAATCGATTCCAAGAATGTCCACATGAATTAATATGAATTCTGAATGTGTCATTTGTGAAGATCACTTGGCAACTGTGTTTGGCAAAAACAATCCATTAATAAATCATTACGTAAATAATAACTAAATCGCATTACATCTTGCCTTCATAGAGCACTTGCCCAGTTACCTTTCCAAGCGCTATTGTTAAACTACTGAAGGGGCTCTCAGAGTCTCCAAGAAGCCACAGAGCTCCAGTCTCTGTTATCAGCTGGGTAATCAGACTCTGGGCGCTGGAGTGGAGCCTGCAGCTCCAGCTCTGGCATGGCTTGAAACATGACTGTCAATTAAGGGAATTAAAAGACGCACTGGTCTTCACTAAGGCGTAGAGGCATGCCGAACTAACCTGGGAAGAAGCCAGGGGAGAACTTGTGCAGAGACACTGTCATGACTTTAGAGGTGAAGCTGAAAGCGTCCTCCACACCTGGAGAGGAAACAATGCAGAAGTCCACTTAAAGGGAAGGATATTAAATTAGGTCTGAGTAAAAGCTTAGAGGAAGTGCCCTTTTTCACTGATGATAACCAATAAACACAAACAAGAAATGTGAACTACTACTATCTAAATGTCTGGGTCAATAACAAATAAAAGATTCTACAAAATGACCTGGTATAACATTTTTTGAAAACCTTTCTATGAACAAAAAGGATATCATATTTTTAAAGACCTTAACACACAGTCATAAGGGTCTAAACTGGTTCTTTCTATGATATAATTTCCTGTTGTATGTTGTTTTTCCGAATGTTGTTCGCACCACGATTTTAATTTGGTGCACAAAGATGTTTAAAATATTTATAAGCATTTTTGTTACAATGTTCGTTTGTTTTTTAAGATATAAAAATAAAATATTATGCAATACTATGTGATAAGGTTTTTATTCAAGAACTTGGCTTTTTCATTACAATATCAGGACAGTTGTATCAACCTGACTTTTTTACGTTTTTTACGTTTGATGTTTAATTTGGAAATAGATAAAAAACACTCATCATAGAAAAGGTGCATTGAAACCATTGTGTAAATGTTAATAAATTAATTAAAAATTTCTAATAAAAATAAGTGTCATGTCACTGACCCATCTAACATTTGCTCTTGGTGTTAATGTGAATTTGGAAGTCAGATATAAATCTAAAGCCAATTTGTGGACTACTTGTGGAAAAGAAGCATGTTAAATGCTATTAACAACAACAGGCTGTTATGGTTATTGTTATGGAAGTGTTATTACCATCTCCATGGTGAAGGTCCACATCCACATAGAGAACTCTCTCATACTTCTCGCGCAGTTTGAGGATTCCAAGAACAGCGTCATTCACATAACAGAACCCAGATGCCTCGTCCCTTATATAACAACACATATTCAATCAGCTGCTCCAGTGACCCACTGAACAATGTCCGACACATACATAAACATTAATCTACAATAAACAAGCTTGTGTAAAAAGCTGCCGCGATCAAACTGTAACATCAAAATTTGAACTTGGTTTAAACTGTAAAGCATGCAGAAAGTCTTAGTACAGGGTTTCTGCAGGATTTTTAAGCTCAAATTTAAGACTTTTTAAGACCTGCACAAATAAAATTAATACCATATGAGCGGGGTAGGGCAATGTAGTACCATATTAAACTGTAAAATTACTGTAAAAAGCGCAATTTACAGTTCAGATACATGTTTTCACAAAAACAAAGTTTTATAAAATGATAAACTTTACATTTCATCCATTGTTAAGAAAATGGATGAGTCAAAAGTATTAATTATTATATTAATTTAAACACTTATCAATAAATTATTATATCAATTAAATAACAAATTAGGAGGTTGTGCGATATTGACAAAAAATTATATCTCGATAATTTTCTGGGATTTTATCGATAACAATAATTAGACAATATTTTGATGAGTGTGTTATTGTGCTGATATCTTAAGGACTACCGTGGACAGCTGGCTCCTAAATACTTTAACCTGCAATTACAAATGCATAAATAATGTTTTGATATTTTAAATATAAAACATTGAAAACTGATGTCTGAAATTATTTAAAAAATGAAAAGGTACCTTAAATGTGAAATTAAAACCAGCCAGTAGGTGGCAGCAAGTTTATGTTAATAAGTGAGTCATTGCGTTTGAACCCAATCATTTAAACGGGTGATTCATTCAGGAACAAAACAGCGTCTAAAGCTCTGCGTGTTTGCAGGGTAAAAACATGGGTCGATTTTCGCATTGGTCTGAACTCTGAACAAAACAACAGTTTTATTGAAAATGCTCATTCATTCTCTGCCAGCAGGTGGAGCGTTTGGTAGAAATATAACTGTTTCCCCGGTAACGGCAGAACACAAAGCAGCGCTGCACCGGACTTTGAACCTGCAGCGCTTGTGTTCAATTAAATCATAACGTTAGCCTTTTGAAATTTAATCGTCACATTCAGCCATATCACAATTCTGGTCTTTCCGTCCAAAAATTTAAGACCTCTTGAAATCATAATTAAGACTTTCTTGTACAATTTAAGACTTTTTAAGGCCTTAAATTTGATACAACTAAATTTAAGACTTTTTAAGACCCCGCGGAAACCCTGTAGTACTTATGTTAAAGATACCACTGGCATCTCAGTGATTGATGTGGACGTGAAACACAAGAGGGTGGGCACAAGGCCTGTTGTGCCGAATTACTTCTTGGCGTGATGCCACCCTCCGGCCCAGTTGATGGCCACATCACACTTTCCATCCAGCAGATTCTGGGCAGCAGTCAGAGTGGCTCCTCCAACGGCAGCGGCGTAATCAAAAATACCCTCCACCACCGGACAGTCATAACCTGAACAAAAGAGAGTGACAAGAGGGATGTTGATAAGACAGAGGGACAATGGGACGGGGTGTAGAGAGGAAAGTGAGAGGAAAGATACTGATGGAGAGGGAGAGTGAGAAAGAACAATAAACACTGAGCTACATTAAAATAGATCCAATTTGGCAAGAGCTCTGTTTCGCCCTGAAAAACAATAACACTATTCTATATCCCTGGAGATTAGTATGAAGTGTCAGTTTGTCAGGCATTTAAATTACACATGGCTGTGATCCAGTACAAAAATTAAACACTGATTGTAATAACTGGAAGGTCTGAGAAAGATTAACATGTAATACTGCCCACTGCTGTAAGCAAGAGGAAACTGCATGCACTAAAATAAGGGACACTACTAGCTAGCTTGGCTGGCCAAAAGTGTATAGACACCTATTTCGAATTCAGAGGGTTTCAAACTGGGGTCTAGGGACCACCAGTGGGACGAAAGGGAGTGTAAGGTGTTAAAAATTAAAAAATTTATTTTAGTACTGTCACATTTAACATGTATCATTTTAAATCATTTAGATCAATTAAATGATTTCTGAAATCATGAAATTAAATGTGATTGTGTCTATTAAACATAATTTTTAACAGCAAGAAGTACCAAAACCAAATTTGAATATGATTTTTAGTTTGCTCACTGAAGGTTTATGGCAGTAGTTCTCAAATTCTTTGGCTCTGAGGCCCCCCACTGCTCAAGACAATATTCAGAGGTCCACTCATGTAGAGTAGGTGCCTCCTACATATTTTCTCTGGTCCTTCTGCTGTAATGGTGACAAAGCCGCTTGGTTACAAACTTTTTATCAACAGATTAACCAGGATAATTACAGATATTCACCATGATTTTTTTCAGAATTACATTAAATCAATAAAAAATAACAGCTGTCGTGGAGACATATGTGACCCTGGACCACAAAACCAGTCATAAGGGTCAATTTTTTAAAATTGAGATTTATACATAATCTGAAAGTTGAATAAATAAGCTTTCCAATTATGTATGGTTTGTTAGAATAGGACAATATTTGGCCGAGATACAACTTTTTGACAAATATCTTCATGGAACATGATCTTTACTTAATATCCTAATGATTTTTGGCATAAAAGAAAAATCGCTAATTTTGACCCATTCAATGTATTGTTGGCTATTGCTACAAATATACCCGTACTTAAGACTGGTTTTGTGGTCCAGGGTTACACACACACACATATATATATATATATATATATACACATTTTTTTTTTTACTTGAAATTTCACTTAGTATATATTATTAAATATAATTCCATTTTGAACAAAAAAAAAAACATATTGTACATTTAATTTACATTTAATCATTTAGCAGACACTTATCCAAAGCGAGTTACAAATTAGGACAATGGAAGCAATCAAAATCAACAAAAGAGCAATGATATGCAAGTGCTATAACAAGTCTCAGTTAGCTTAACGCAGTACCCGTAGCAAGTTTTTTTTTTTTTATTATATAATAAATAAAAAGAAAACAGCTAGAATAGAAAAAGAATAGAGCAAGCTAGTGATAGAGGCCTTTTTTGCTTTTGTTTATTGCAAAATAAATAAAAAGAAAACAAATAGATAGAATAGAAAAAGAATAGAGAAGCTAGTGTTAGTTTTTTTTTTAAGAAAACAAGCAGTTAGTAAATGAATATTGTGCAAGTCTAAAAGGGATTATTAATAAATTATTATTATTATATTATTATTAATAATAGGGATGGGTCACGATTTTGGAATATTCGATAAGTTGATTTAATTATATTAATTAAATTGGCGCTGCCAATAATACACCTAAAAGCTGTCAAAGACAACAGAAGAACACATTGTCTCACGTGCACACTGTAGACTAGCGTGGCATAAAAAAAGACTTGCGTAGCATATAACGGTTACAGTAACTTGCGACAATGTCAAATAAGAGTTTTGTAAGGAGTAAGGAGAAATGTCCTAGACTTATGAGCTAATCCACAGACTGTTATGTTAATAAGTGCCGTCATTCGGTAATGTTTATTATATTAATATGTTTCAGCACGTTACAATCATTATGGCTTGAGTTAAGGTAGCCTATCTTATGAATTAAACGGTTTATCATACAGATTGAAAGCGTGAATCCCGTCTCTCTGTTCATGGGTGTTTTTTTGCGTGCATGCGGGGGAGGGTGCGATTTTCAAATAATAATCGAATAATACCCAGCAATTTCCGAATATTATTTTTGCTTGGAATGCCCATCCCTAATTAATAATAATTGTATTTATATCACATTATTTTTTAGCACAGAGTATACGGTTTTTTTTTTTTTTACATGAAAATATATAGCTATATAGCTGCTTTTATATTTTAGGAAAGGAGTCTCTTGCAAAGGGTTTGTTATATTTTAGGGGCCTTGTAATCAAAACATTTAAAACACCTGCTTTATGAAAATTTTAGCAAAAGTCATGCAAAAGTCATGCAATTGCCTTTCAAGCCATGCCAATCTGCCCAACATCAGTGCCTTACTGATGCTCGTGTCTTAATTCCTGCAGCCAGAAACAATGGTTGTCCATATACTCTTGGCCATGCAGTAGAGTAATCATGGGCCTAATCATCTGAATTCAGGTCTCACCCAGCCCAAAGTCAACAGACTGAGGATCATCATTGTCCCCATCCTGGCTGATCTTGTGCAGGTGCTGTAAGTAAGAGTCTGTGTGAAACACGGCCATCTCCTCTATTGAAGCCACATGTGGCTTCACCACCCTAAAACACACACACAACAGTTTCAACAACATACACAACAGTTAACATTATTTACTGAGAAATAGTCAAATACGCATAATCTTTACACACCTCATGTATTTTAATAAACCATACGCCTCAATCAATGAATGCACCATACTCGCCTGTGAGAGAAAGAGAGAAAGTAAAGAAAACCAACCATATAACGTTACTCATCTATATTTTAGGCTATGCGTTAATTTTTTTTTACAATAATAATATGTAGTACCACGGTACTGTGATGGTTTCAGAAAATACATTCAAGGATGTGTTTTCATATTCCATGGTTTATGCAGGCTGTGTGCATTTGACTTAGGATTGTGGTTTTGAAACTTATATGGTAGGTACATAGCACCAAGACCTCAGTTATCATGAAAAAGCCAGGAAATTTCTGTTTTGACAATATGGGACCTTTAACACATTCTTGTACCATGGTATTTATATGATACTCAAAAATAATTAAAAGAATTCCACGGTAATACAAATGGTAACGTTAACGTTACATGTCCATAACACGTTATTTTTCCATTAGTATCAAACCAGCTAGACCAAACGCGCTTCTTTCTCATGTTCATGTCTCTAACGTTACATATAATATCCACTATGAAGCACCTGCATGAAGCCAGAGGTTTGTTTTGGGAGTGTGTGAAGTAAAGTGCAGTTCATCTCACCCGGTTTGGCACTTTAGACAGTGAGTCGCATGTTTGGATGTACTCCGGACTGTACACATACACCACGCTGCGATTTCTGCTTTTATCATCATTACTCTCGCTTTTATCACTCATTTAAAATCAAACTATTAAAATCAAAGCGCCTCATAAATCGATACAAAGTCTTTCGGTGCGCTCTGGCTGTTCCGACAATGAACGCCACAACAACAACAAACGTCCGTTATTTCAAAATAAAAGTCCGGATTTTAAACAAGAACCTCTGCTCTCTCTCATCGAGATACTGTAATGATGTTTGCTGTTTTGGCTTTGCTCTTTTCTAATAGGAAACCGCAAAAATCCACAAATGTCTGGGTAATTCAATAAGTAAAATACTTTTATTTAAGTTTCATTTTCATTCAGTTGTAATTTTGAGAGCAAAATAAATAAAAGTTACTATCCAATAATGTCTTCTTTAAGTACATGCAAACATCTACTACTGGCTGGTAACAGAGCTGTAAAGACAACAAATGCAAGTCTAAAACACTAATGTAAAATACTATACACAAGTAGTCACCTGTAAACGCAATACATTCTTAGTTTATGCAGTATAGCTCTTCATTTGTGTTGGCAAACAAAAAACAAAAAGAACAAAACTGAGTTTCATGCTTAATAGCCTTTAGTCAGGATAGACACTATACTGAATTTTACTCCGATTTGCCTGTATGAGGACAAACTATCAGTCTTGACATGCACTTTATAACTTTCACCAATACATTTCAATACATTTCCATTCCTCACAGCCTTGTCAAAAATAAAATATGGAGCTACCCTGACTAAGGTCTATGGAAAACCTATATTAGGACTACTGAATGACAACACCATCAAACCGTAAACTACCAAAGCATGTGGTCAACAACAAGTTTATTCATTCTTGTTTAAAACGGTTGCAGATTTTGCTTTCGCTCTCAAACTCACACAAACACCTAAATAACTGCTCTAAAATAGTGGTCTCTTTCTCTGTACAATCAAAACTATACTATTTAAAAACGTCATGATATCACTGTACAGTACAGGCGCCACTAGGCAGGAAGTCCTGGACGTAGCTAGCCACAGCTTTAGTGAGGTAAGTCATGGTGCCAAAGCGACCGCTGGGTGCAGTGTCATACAGGAGCCGGCAGATGCCCGTAGAGTGATCCTTTTCTAAAATACTGTCCTCTGCACCAAGATCCTTCTGCAGCAGCGAAAGGAAATGAATTAACATTTGATGATAATAAATACCAGGTGAAATCATGTTACTGAAAACATTTCAGATAAATACCCATACCTGGTCCTTGTAGAACATGTCATTGGCAATGTGAACTATCTTCTCTATGTGGATGATGCTGCCAATGCTTTGAATGTCCACATCAGCCAGCATTGTAAGTACCAGGATCCCTTCGACCAGCAGCTGCCTATATTCAGGCTGAGGGACACGGTTCAGCACCCTTTCCACATGTACCGCAAACTTAATCTCACCCGGGGTCATCTGGAGAGAGGGAGAGATACAGTCAGTGCCACAGAAAGCAATGAGAGGAACTGGTGAAATGGTTTTTAAGACACTTTTAATGGTCCTAAACCTCTCTTGTAGTAGAAGATGGGAGCACAAAGCCTTCTATTGAAAGGCCATGACACTGTGGGCAAAAAACAAACAAAACAATAAATTAATATAG